CTCGTCAGACGATCCGCTGAACGGTGCCGTGACGAATCCATATTCCTCAGGCGCACGAGGGCGCCCACTTAGGATGGGCCTAGTGTAAGCCCCCCCACCGGAGAAATTGAACAAAACTCCGGAGGGTGCTGTACGACTAACTATCTGCTCTAGGCTAAATCGCCCGCTATTGCTACGGGAATCCCACATCGGCACATAGTTACCCTGATTGGGGAGGCTGCTCGCGGGCATGCTCATCCCTCATTGCTTTGTCAACAACTGGAAGCCAATTGGCCAGCCATGCTTTGATATCCCCGGGCCCTTTGGCCATCTGTTCCTCCAGGGGTCGTTTGAAGATGGTATCAAGGAGATGCTCTGGGAGCAGGTCCGCTTTTTCATACAGGAGCTCAACCTCTCGTTGGAGCTGTTCGTGTTTCTTGCGCCATTTCTGTTCCTGATCCCGGCCGTGCCTGGCGGCATTTCGGTCTTCCCAGAGATTCCACCACTGCTGGATCAGAACGGAAGCCAGGTTGGTGACCCAGAGCTGCCCGGTCTTGGTGGTCTCCTTGGAGCCGACCCGATGCAAATAGGCATCTTGGTGCTTGGCCCAATGCTTGGACAAACGTCCTCTCAGGAAATTATCCCAACCAATGAGATTTTGAGTGTCAACAAGATCCCTATACCGGTCTGGGTAATGCCACGGGTGTAGGAATCGATCTTCAAAGTGGTATTGAAGCCCATCAAGAACAATTTCCAGGAGGAAGGGGTCTGTGGAGTCCTTGCGCAACTTTGTACTGATCGCTCGTTGCATGGTCCCTCGCCACAAATCCACGTCAACATGTGGGCATCTGTAAACATGGGTCTCAGTCTCATGATCACCGCCGCAACGGGGACAGTGGTGATCATACTTGGGGTCGTCCCAGTGTATTCGTTTCCCAACTGGCAGCTATTGAAATAGGAACTTCACAATTGTCGGTTTGTGGATTTCATGACGGTTGACAGCACGACCATGGGCTGTGCAATCAACCAGTGCAGGGGTGTCCTCGTCCCAATCTGGATTAAGTTTGACAATGTGGTCGAACAATGGCTGGTCGTTCCTGAGATGCCGCAGTGTTCTGGGAAGTTTGTACGTGCATGTCCCTTTGGGAAGGTGCAGCTGGGCCAAGTTGGCCGGAAATCGGAGCACCTTGGAGTGGTCCTGTTGGATGTGTCGGGTCATGTAGCTGCCTGCCAGTTTATCAGCTCTACAGTTCAGTTGAGCCTTCAAAGGTAGCGTTTCGATGGCCTTGTGCTTGTCCTGGTGCGATTTGATGTGCTCCATCTTGGGCACTGTGACGGCAGCCCGAAACGAATCCTCGATCTGCTGCAAGACATCCCAGTCGGAGTCTAAGGAATCATTGGGGTGTAATCCAGACAGCCAGCACACTTGTTGGTAACGGATTCATTGTCGCACAGGCGCACATAATTCTTCATGCTGGGTCGGTCATAGAACTCCAGCAATCGCCAAAAGAAGGCAAGTAGGGGATAGAATGCCATAAGCCTCTGCCCTGTAGGAAGTCGGAACCATACCAAAAACGGGACCAGAGCACCGAAGCACAATCTGACCGCGATTGTCTGCCAGAACCCAAGCAAAACTTGCCTTACCGGCATCAATGTCTGCAGCCCCATCACTCGCCACCCAAAATGGCATGGCTGTGACAATCTGCAGGACGGAGTAAGCGTCCACCATCCATTCAAGCTCATCATAGAGAGCTGTTTCCCAAGGCTCCAAAGTGGCAAGGAAATCATCAAATGTTGTCGGTGTGGGTGGTAGTGGACGAGCAGGAATGCCTGCTGTGTAACCACTACCAACTGCCACTGTCGTCTCATCTTCGAACTCCCAGCGGTGAACTGTCCGTTCCTTGTTCGGAACTGGATGTTGGAACATCCAAAATTCAGACTCCTCATTGTCAACTTGTTGATAGACGACGTTGGCATCGACTTCGTAGAAGAACCTGTGGCGCATCCGGAGCTTGTCAGCAGAGACAAGCCACCTCCCTAGGGGTACACCCAGAGTCAGATTCGGAGCGAAGAGGGATAATGCTTTCCTCCACAACCACCAAGTCCTTAGATCCTTGGGTCGATCTTGAAACCTTTTGAAGTAGATGGTGCGAGGCATCAGAGTACTGGAAAAGCCATGCCAGAACTCCTCCCGGATGTATGTGCCACATGCCGTGGTGATGTCAGCTACCGTGACAACTTGGATTCTCGCGCGCCCCAACCTCAGTGAGAAGCACCGAAATGAGGCTGTCTCTCTGAAGAAACTCCTGCAAGGGGATGGGAGCTGGGCCACTCGAAAACTCATTCTGGGATGGATCATCGACACCCTCCGACAGACTCTGGAACTTCCGGCCCACCGGAAGCAGGCGCTTGCTGACATCTTCAAGGAACTGGCCGGGTGTCGCAGAGTCAGCCACAAGCATTGGATGCAAATCCTTGGCAAGCTGTGCTTGTCTCTGTTGCCATCCTGGGCTCCACTGGGCTGTTCAGCGCTCTCCAAGAATCTGGATCAATGCTGCGCTGAGATCCCACATCGATGCCATTGCGATCTGGCTGCCAGCCTCTGACACCGCCCACACACTTGGCGGAGATCGTCCCCCGGACCCATCCTTCTTCGGGCCACTGACGCCACAAGGCTGAATGGGCGGTTCTACTTTGACTCTGAGGACACTCCCTACCTGTGGAGGTTCCCGTTCCCTCCAGATGTGCAGGCTCAGCTAGTGTCCACGGACAACCCTACGGGGAACGTCCCCAACAGGTGACCTCGAACAGGCCGCCATCCTCGCCCAACACTCCTTGCAAGCGGCGGAACATTGCGTCACCACCTCCTCTCGGACAACACCCCGGCCTCTCCAGATCTCCAAAGGGGCGTGACTTCAGATGGTCCTGCGGCATGCCGCCACCAGCGAGAGCACTGCTACTGCGCCCTCTCGTCCTACATCATGGGTCCTGCTAACGTGATGGCTGATGATACGTTGCGTCTACAACACCTCACCCTGCCTGAACTTCTCGCCCACTTTGAACAGCGCTATCCGCAGAACAGACCTGGCAGGTGTTGACTCTGCCACCGAGGTCAGTTCACAGTTGATCTCCGCCTTGCGCTGCAGACCGCTTCCAAGAACATTGTCTCCAGACGGCCGCCGCCCGAGACCGACCTTCGGACGATGGTGTGACTTCAGCGCGGGCCTTGGCGTCCACCCATCCCTCTGTGATATCCCTGACCAAGAATCCAAGCCTGCTACCTCCTCGTCTTCGGAAACCGTTACCGCGAGTCTAACAATGTCCGAGCTGACTCAGTGGACAAGGCCCTTCTCGATGTCGGCAAGGGGATCACCGACCTGGATCACCCTGATCCCAGAAAGCTCGAAGCAGGATCCACCACAACCATCCAATACTCGCTGTTTTCCTCAAAGGATTCAAGGATGAGGATGGCCCCCTGACCGAGCCTACCCCGTCAACTCTCCATCCTCTGAGCTATGCTCAAGCCCTGGACTAGATGAGCCACCTGGGGCACCCTCAACCGCCACGTCCGAGACCTCTGCATCCTGGCCTTCTTCTGGCTCCTGCGCCTGCGGAGTACCTGGACACCGGGAACCTTGAATCCGAAGCCAAGCCTTTCGCCTCTGTGATGTCTCCTTCACTGTCGCGGCGGCCTCCAAGTCCGCGGCGACACCATCTCTTTGAATGACGTGAAAAACCACGCATGCCTCACCGATGCCACTTTACGTTCACTGACCAAAAGAATGCTGTCCGCGCGAGTCCGTGGGCCACCGCCCGACCTCTGATCCGTGCTTTGCCCGGTGAAGTCCCTCGCTTGTGTGGTCTACCACCTCCGTACCAACGGCGCCGACGCCGATACTCCCCTCTTCAACCACTTCAATGCGGCCGCAACCGGTGGTATCCTGTGAAGCCCCAGTTCATCACCAAAGCCCTCCGCCATGCTGCGGCCCTCATCTCCCACGACACCGGCATCAACCCTGACAAGGTTTCTGCCCGCTCACTCCGTCCTGGTGGTGCCACAGCCCTTCTCTGCGCACATGTTACTCGGATGCATCCGCCTTCTCGCCGCGGGAAGTCCGAGCCATGCTCCGCTACCTGCGCATCCAAGCTGCTGCCGCCACCCACCACTACTCCCAACAGATGTTGGACCATGGGGCAAAACTTCCCGGGAGGCACCTATGACGCCACCTCCTCCCGGCGCAAGCGCCCCAACACTCAAGAGATTCTTCTCCATGAAGAACTCTACGAGGACTAACCTACCCTAGTCCGTGGCCCCTTGTCCTTGCCTACACCTGACAGGGGGTTACTTCTCCCACCCCGCTACGCTCCCTCCTGTTCTGCCTTTGGCTTTTGGGTTGCACGACTGAAGGCTGTCCCGTGGACATCACATTCCCGGGACTCCCTTCCGCCGTGTGGGATTCATCCGCGACTCACCAGTCCCGAATGGTACCCCGGGACTGGAGACGGTCGGCTCAGTAAATGGCGAGTCTCTCCACTCACCTAATCTCTACTAGTCGTGCCTAGCTAGCTGCTCTGGGCGGGCAGCTTGTCTGTGCTCGACTCTTTGAGGTCATATTCAAACCGCCGTTGGAGGAGCAAATGGCCAAGGGGCCGGGGGACATCAAGGCATGGCTGGCCAACTGGTTGCCTGTTGTTGACAAGGCACTGAGAGAGAGGAGCACGTGCGCAATGTGGAGCGAGATGAAAGGTAACGATGTGCTGTGGGGTGTACGGTGGGTGTCTTGTACGTCTGAGATACGCTGGTTCGATATGGCTCCGCTAAGCAGGAATTCAGCAGGAAGTCTAGCGAGGCGCAGCATATAAAATAATACTTTGTTATTTTTGTTCGTGTATTTTCCCAATCCACCAACTGCAAATAAGGTATTTGTGCTAGCTAAGGATCCTCGAGGCAGTTTGTAGCTGCTCCAAGAGGTGATAGCAAGCTGTAGTTTGTACAGAAGTCTTATTAAAGTACATATGAGTTAGTGCATTAGATCAATTTTTGTTGCAAACATAATATTGCTATGACTTGTGACACTAGATAGCATTGTATCAGTGGTAGCCTGCAGCCAAATAGCAGCGCTTTTGAGCATTCCAGTTGTTTGTTTGGTCGAGATTGTTGTGTCATAGGAGACTTCATTGTGAGTTTCATCTTGTGCACCGTGCTTGCATGTGTTGCTGCCAGTGGTTGATTTTCCCGGTGTGACTCCATCCTGTGTCTTGGTCACATGAGCGTCATCTGCTGGAGGACAGGTCATAGATGCCAAGTTATTGGCCGTAGTAAATGCACTGTCTCGATTGAAGCCGGTTGATTTATGAGTCGGTTGTAGTTGGCACGTTTGATGGTTTGTATTGTTGGAACATGACAAGGAACCCGTAGACGTGTGGCTAATTCCCAGAGGAGATAACGTCGTCAGTTGTTGATAGAGGTATCCAGCTTGGTATTGCTGATATCGGTCACGGAGAGTGGTTCCGACTCTTGTAGTGTCCGTCTGATTGATGGACTCAGCCTGTAGGAATTTCCGAATAGATTCTTTGAGTCGATACCTGGAACGTCGCTGTGGTGGTAATCCAGCAGGACGACATGCGTTTCCCGGAATCTGAATCCAATGTCCGTGTGTTGAACGTGGGGCCCTTGCATCCCGTGTTGTTGTTGTTGTTGTTGATGAGCGGCGGCCATTCATCCCTATTGGTAGTTGGTGTGGATACAGCATTGTTGATGGAGTATTTGGGAATTTTCGTGGGTTTATCAATTTGCTTCTGATGTTTCTTTGCGTGACTAGATATGACTCTGCGAGGCACAACCTCGTCCCACACTACCGGCGTTTTTGTTGCTGTTGCCAGGATTGGTGGCAATGGTAATGGATGGGTCTCGATGGGCTGTGGGAATTTATTCATGAATTTCTTCTTATTCCTTTTTCCAGCACTTGCATTCCTCTTTTGAGTATTAGTTCGCGGCGGGGTGGATGATGTGTTCGACGCAATGGATGCAGAGCCGGTGGTATCGAAGATATTGATGGTATCGTCATCACTAACATGCTTGTCCTTGTTATCGTTTGCAACAGTGTTGTACTGAAAAAGCCAAAGGTCATCATCTGGAAGAAGTGCCTATCCGGCGAGGTTGCTCGACTTTTCTTTTTCTTTACGTTGCATGTTGGCGTTGTCCTTTTATTTGCTGGGATGTTTCGAAAGCCATCTTCATCGATAGCTGTGCTTCTTGGTGGGAAAAGGGTGTCATTGCGCTTGGTGGATGATCGCTCAGCCCTGTTTTTGTCGATCGATTTCGATGGTTTCGAGAAGTTGTCCAGATTAGCCAAGGGCTGCCTAGGTCGACCTGGGGAACGTACATTGATTCCAGTCATCTGATTGCCTGTTAATGAAGATTTGTGATGGCGAACGGAACCACAAGGCGCCATGGTCGGTCCTTTTCGTGTTTGGTGGCTGAGAGGAAACGGCAGATTACTATAGGATAAACAGTACTTAGAGCTTTCATCAGAGTGCTTCCGAAAAAGCGTGGTTCTAGATTTCCTGAATCTAGAATTGTAAAAAGGATACCAACATTAGTCAGCCGAACGGTATGGGAAGCTAGCTAAATGGAAAAATGACCCCAAATCTATCAACTGATCCCGAACGCAACTAGCTGGCGATTAGAGAAGAGGGTCCCGTTTTGTTAATATAATAAAAAACCAGATGGTAGATACTCTTAGTTGCTAAAAAAAAATTGCACAATGTGGCCTTTCAATGTCTCAAAGTCTTCATTAACTGTTCACATGCAAGCAACCTGCACGAGGTCTCATGGGCCAATGATGGCTAGGGAGTAGCTACACAAAAATATGATGGATAGGCTCCATCACCCGGATTGGTAGAGGTAGTTGTGGAGCAGGCAGGATCAACCTTATAACAACAATTCACGGGACTCGGGGAAGTGCTCTCTGCACCACTCCAATAATTAATGGCATCACAAGCCCCTGGAAAAGCATTTTCGCAGTCTGTAACGCAGTCAGAAAATGTGGGCCAGATATTTTGGCAAGCTGAGGTGCCTACATTCGTGGTGCTGCTACAACTCTCAAATTTCTGGCAAGACCAGCCGGGTGCCAGTGGAGTCTCAGATGGAGCACTGGAAGGCGATATCGAAGGCGCATCAGACGGAGCATGGCTGCTTGGACTGGCAGATGGGACATCTGAAGGGCTGATGCTAGGGAGCATAGATGGCCTATCTGATGGGCTAAGAGAAGGTACATCCGATGGAGTCGCGCTTGGACCAGAAGATGGAATCTCTGAAGGGCTGATGCTAGGGAGCATGGATGGCCTATCTGATGGGCTAAGAGAAGGCACATCCGATGGAGCAACACTAGGAGTCAAGGATGGAATATTTGAAGGGCTGATGCTAGGAAGCATCGATGGTGTATCTGATGGGCTGGTGGAAGGTACATTTGATGGACTCAATGATGGGAGTGAAGAAGGCATTGTTGATGGGCTCAAGCTTGGGCTGAACGAAGGCAATGTTGATGGACTTGATGATGGTGCCGAAGATGGCTCCACTGATGGACTGAAGCTTGGGCTTGATGAAGGCAATGATGATGGACTCATGGAGGGCAACATTGATGGGTTTGATGATGGGGAGTCAGAAGGAAATTTAGAAGGGCTAGAGCTTGGATTTGCAGATGGGAATGAAGTTGAAGGGGTGCTTATGCTGGGGATTGAAGGTGTCGCGTCCACAGGGCTGATGGTAGGGCTCAGCGATGACAATGTCGATGGGCTGGAGCTGGCTACTACTGAAGGCATGCCAGATGGACTTGTGCTAGGCAACCTGGATGGTAGATCTGATGGGTGTTTTGAAGGTATTGTGGATTGACTGGTGCTGGGACTATTCGAAGACAGGTCAGATGGATGGCTGCTTGGGGTGGTAGATGGAGAGGGGGCACCAGATGGGCTGGTGCTCAGAACCATTGAAGGAACATCAGAGGGGCTTGAGCCAAGATCAATAGAAGGTGCAATTGATGGACTAGTAGATGGCAGACTGGATTGGAAGATGCTGGGGGTGGTTGACGACACACTAGATGGAACAACTGAAGGTGGTGATGATGAGCCTATGCTTGGTACATTGCTTTGGCTTGGGATCCATGATGGTGCCTTTGATGGGCTACTTGATGTTTTTGGACTTGTTGTGGGATTCCCTTGGGTATCAGTGGGTAGTGAGGAAGGGGATGATGTTGGTGTTCTCGATGGGGGAGAAGATGCAATCGAAGAAGGAATTGTTGAAGGTGGTGAAGATGGGCTATCACTCGATGCGCGTTTTAGACTTGGACTTTCAGATGGCACATTTGATGGGCTACTTGATATTTTTGGACTTGTTGTGGGTTTCCCTTGGGTATCAGTGGGTTGTGAGGAAGGGGATGATGTGGGGGTCCTCGAGGGGTAGGCAGAAGGAATTGAAGAAGGGATGGTTGAAGGTGGTGAAGATGGGCTATCGCTTGGTGCGTGGCTTTTACTCTGGCTTTCAGACGGGTTCACTGAGGGCGAGTTGGAAGTTCTCGGACTGGTAGTGGGCTTGCCTGGAGTGTTGGTAGGCAATGAGGAGAGGGTTGATGTTGGGATTATTGACGGAGCACTACTTGGCAACACAGATGGACCGGTTGATGGATAGGCTGATGGAAACCCTGATGGAATCGCTGATGGGTTCTCAGAAGGTGACATCGATGGATTTGCACTTTTTGGGCTGACTGTGGGGTTTCCTGGTGTAACTGTTGGCCTTGAGGAAGGAGAAGTTGTGGGTTGATTGGAAGGACTAGCTGAGGGTTGCACTGAGGGCATATCACTAGGATACACTGATGGCTGATTGGATGGCATCAAGGAAGGTACACTGGATGCTTGCTGTGATGGGCTTTTGGATGGGCTGTTGGATGGCGTATTGGACGCGCTGGCAGAGAGGACTATAGATGCAGCTGCAACCCCAGGTGTGTTAAGAACATTGTTGTACTGGTCCAAAAACAGTCCTTGTTGAGCAGCCACAATAAAAGTGCTTCCTTGTTCTTGGGTTGCTGTAACAGTGAATCCAACAGATGATGTTTGCAGATTCCTTCCACCCCAACGCTGGTAATCCTGAACCCTGACACTGGCTGCATTGCTCCCTGCTGGCCTGCTTGAGATTACAACACTCTCTACTGCAGGTGGACAAGAGCTTCCTTTGTGTATTGTTTCTGCTGCTGTTGAGAATGCTAAAGTCAATTCAGCGTCTTCTAATGAGCTGATGTCTCCATTAAAAACAATGCTGTAGGTGGATTCCAGTGAAACAAAAGATGCATCACAAGCGGTGGGTGGGACACTGGGAGCTAAACTTGGCACAGTTGATGTGCTGGGCAAGCCACTTGGCATGGTGCTGTAACTGGTACTGGGATTCATGCTGGGGAACACGCTTGGCTCGGTTGGGGTGCCACTGGGAAAGCTGCTTGGACGGGTGCTGTCATCAGCAATACCGGTGGGGGTTGTGCTTGGAAGCACACTTAGTTCAGACGATGAACTGGGCAGGCTGCTTGGACTGGTGCTTGCAGATATGCTGGTAGCCACGCTTGGAACCGCACTTGGTTCAGTTGATTCATTGGGCAGGCTGCTTGGTATGGTACTTGGTATGGTGCTTGGTATGGTGCTTGGTATGGTGCTTGGTTGGGTGCTTGGTATGGTGCTTGGTAAGGTGCTTGGTAGGGTGCTTGGTAGGGTGCTTGGTAGGGTGCTTGGTAGGGTGCTTGGTATGGTGCTTGGTATGGTGCTTGGTATGGTGCTTGGTATGGTGCTTGGCATGGTGCTTGGTATGGTGCTTGGTATGGTGCTTGGGTTGGGTGCTTGGTTGGGTGCTTGGTTGGGTGCTGTCATTAGAACTCATAAGTTGACTAGGTGAGGCACTTGGTACTGAACTTGGTACTGAACTTGGTACTGCACTGGGGGAGACTGTGGTGGGAGTGTTGTCATTGCGCACCTCTTGGGTGTCTGTTGGGATACTTGTTGGAGAAAGAGAGGGAACGTCAGATGAAGTCAGAGTCGGTGCAATGGAAGGGGAGAGAGTAGATTCAACAGCAGGCGAGGCTGTGGGATCATCAGTAGGCTCAACAGTAGGCTCGACAGTGCGATCATCAGTTGGGGACCGAGTAGGTTCCCTAGTAGCGAAGAATGTGGGTTCATCTGTGAGGGTGAGTGTTGGTTCATTGGTCAAGGAAAGAGTAGGTTCGACTAGTGTTGGCTCATTGGTGATTGTTGGAGATTTCTCAGGAGTGGCCTCTTGTGTCACTTCAGGTTCATCATTATCAATCTGACCACGGTCATTCTCGATTTCATTTACTGTTTCACTTATAGTCACAGTCCCTCCACTGCCAGCGCCATTACCACTAGCAGCTTCTCCTGTTCCTCCACTGCCTGGACTTGTGTCTTCAGCCTCCAGCACTTTCTCTGAGGATTCAATGACACCCGGCAAGATCTCCTGGCAGTCATTGGAGTTTGGGTTCTCCAAGCAGATTCCCAATGTCTCCACATCAACACCTGCATCATCAAGCACATTCTTGCAGAAGTCTGATTGTCCATTACCAGCTGAAACTTCTTCAACACAATCCTCAATGGTTGAGAGCTCAGTGTTAACAAAGGGTGTTCGAATAGTCCCATTGTTTGCTTCAACTAGCTGCAAAGCTTGACTAATGGTGGTCGCTCCAATGCTACTAACAGGCTCAGACTGAGCATCAATCTCTCCATCTGGAGTCACAGCTCGGGTGGTAGCAAAAATGACTGACGACTGGAAGCCATCATCAGCATCTTCGGTCCCATTCGTACCAACAATAGTGAGCGTGTTATTCTGCCCATCATTGCGCAAGGTGGGGTCAAGATTGTATCCAAAGGAAGCAGCAAAGAGAGGAAAGAACTCCGCCATGTCGAAATTCCGACTCCCAAATACGTTCTCCAATTTCCTTTGGAGAGAGGCATGCTGATGCTTTGTAAGGCGACAGGAAAGCGCTAGTCTTCTTCTTCCTCTTGAACTGGAATCTGGTCCATCAGGAAGCTCAAATAGTGGTTCATGGTCAGGACACCCGACACAGCCAACATGGGCCTTCCAAGAGGTTGTGGTGACGCTGCTGGCAACCAGCTCTCTGTACTCTTCCAATGACGTGTCTGTACGGTAGAGCCATTCAGCGAATGGGTCGAGGTTTCCTCGAGGAACCTCAGGTGACTGAGTATCTGGTGGCAGAGACAAATTGGGAAATTCTGTGTAGTTTGCATCCATAGAGCTGTTGAAGGCAGTGCTGTTTGTAGGATTTGGGGACAGAACAGTGCCATTCATCGGCGCTTTCGTGCCGTTGGTAGTGGCATTGGCAAGGTGGATGGTCATGTTTGTGCTGTTCAAGCTGCCAGCAAATACTCCTGCATCAAAAAATTCTTCTTCGGGATCCCCCCAAAAACCTGGCAAGAAGATGCTGTGGGTACTGTTGGTGGTAAAGTTTCCCCAGTCCGTTTCCCAGTCGACAACCTCGGCAAAGTGTAATACACGGAAATACTGATCCAAACACATTCCCTGAAAAGAAGCAATAGCGTGAGTTCATTGGGCTTGCTACAATCAATCATTCAACACACTGCGGGGACCGATTGATTCCAACCGACTCACCGTAATCTCATTGTAGACATCTCGAAAGAGAATCTCCAGTAGCTTCTTCTTACGGGGATCAAACAGAGTATCCGGAGGAATTCCCATGATTTGAAGCTCAAGAAAGCCCACCTTCAACAGGGACTGTTCAGAACATACAGGCGGTACAAAATCATCAAAAATAGGGAGTGGGGGAGGTGCAGGCACTGGGGTTGGTGTGGTGACTCCGCTGGATACTGCTGCTGCTGCTGCCACGGCCGCTGATTTCACAAATAAAACCACCAGACGTTAGATATGATGGTGATTTTGATAAATAATGAGTAGTGAGAGTCTTCCTAGGATAGGCTTACCGATACTCACGGCCACAGCAGCTTGGGTTGCTGCTCCAGCACCGGCAGCTGCTCCAGCCATCCCAGCAACACCAGACAATCCTATGGCATAGAAAAACATTTTGCAGTGTAAGCTATGAACAAAAACAACCAAAGTCATTGAGCAAACTTGCTCCCAGCATACCTCCGACTGCGGCTCCAGCTGCACCAGCACTAGCAGCTCCAGAAGCAGACGCACTGGCAGCACCTTGCGCCTAAAATTGTCCAAAGTTTGGAAAGAAGATAGAGTCCATGAGTTAGTGGAAGGGAAGAAGAAGCCAGCTGGCAATAGCAATATATAAGTAGACGTACTGCAGAAGTAGCCATTTCAGCTACGCCAGGAGGCGGACCAACAGCTCCACCAGGAGGAGCTGGTCCAGCCACACCTCCTCCCGCGCCAGCTCCACCACCGCCACCTCCTCCACCTCCACTGCCACCTCCATGGGCTACCGATTGCATGGAGGTCCAATTTTGAGATACTAAGTTTGTGGCTCCTGGGTCGACAGCATCCATCAGTTCCTCCGCCAGATCTTCTGCTCCAACATCACCACCGTCGTCGTCACCACTACCACGTCCAATCTTTTTGAGGAACCAGACATACATCTTGGAAAAAAGCCCCAAGAATTTCGCAAAGAGCTCATTCTGGATGAATCCCAATAAACATCCTAGGAATCCGTCACGGATAGCTTTCTCCCTCTCGGCATCCACATCAATGGAATCATCCTCGTCGCTAAGTTTGGCAGAGTCACTTGGGTCATCACCTTCATTACCATTACCTGCGCTTGCCATCACCTCCTTGTTGTCATGCCAGTCAATATCATCCTTCGTTTCGGTCGCTGCTTCCAGGTCCTCCTCTTCTTCCTCCAGGTCTTCTTCTTCCTCTTCCTCCTCAAAGCTGAGATTCATCTCGATGTCTAGCTTGGCTTCATGGTCGCTTTGATCACTTGCCATCATCATCTTCTTCAGCAGTAAAGGGTGAATTCCTTATTATTATAGTTCTCGTGTTGTGTTGCAGGTAGATTAAACCTGGGTGGGTGCGTGAAACTGAGTGACAATCGGTCAGTCTCACTGCATGCATGATCATCTCGAGTTGTTGGCTGCCACATGCAGCACACGCATCTGCAGCAAGGACACACGCAGCGATCGACATGGCACTTGAACAAGGACAAAAGAGTATCGTGCCTAAGCTGTACCGGTACTTAAAGAAAGTCTTCAAAGTCTAACAGCTGCGGACTGCGGACTAAAGAAACATATAAGTAGAATAGAACTTCTCTAACTCTATGGTCACCTCAACTACGATTTGAAGATTCTTTCGAACGGTGCGTCAATCTGATCGACGTCATCCCAAGTGACCTGCCTACTGCCCTTTCAAAGTCGACTGACGCTGACGGCAGTTGTCCCATATCCAAAATGGACGGTCATAACTGTTCCAATGAGAACCCGTTGTGACTGCTCATTCCATGCCAGTTCAGGAATGGTTGATTGAGATGCTCCCTTCTGTTCGGTGGAAGAGAGAAAAGAGAAAAGGTAAGGTCATAATTGTCACCATGAGAACTCTAGCGTCGTATTATGTGACTGAGTCACTCACATGCATTCTACTCGACGTATGGTTCATGAATAAATCGAGTCCCGGATTGTTGCAAATCCAATAAGGTTTCGTGGACACTGAACGATCCCACTATGGTTGCCATGGCAATGGATGCTCTTTGTGAGGTTGAGATGATGTGTTGTTGGTGCTGTTGCAGCAACCAGCCATGAACCGAGTATCGAATGTTCGTCTTGGTACGATACTGTTGCATGTCCTGATTGGTCTGTTCTTGTGGCGGCAGATTGGTCTGACGCCTTCCCAACAGAAGAATCCTGATCCACAAGACGAAAAAGTTCGGAACAACCACAATAGAAATGACAAACAGAAGAAGACGAGCAACAGACAGTTTGCCTACGCATCTCTGATTGGCGGTGTGGATCCGTCAAATCCGTCGTACCGTGGATTCTTGTACAATGTGATGCTCCAAGCCACACTGTTGCGTGAGCATTATGGTTCCACCAAGGCAGATTTTGTGCTGTTGATCCAAATGTCGTACAACACTCCCGCCACCACGTTACCCGCTACCGACTTGGAGTGGTTGCGCGCCAGTCACATTGACCATGTCGAGTACATTCCCAAATCGCCGCATCAAGGCTTTTACGACATTAATATGCAAAAGTTTCGCGTCTTGCAATGGGTTCAGTATCAACGGGTCCTCTTTCTCGATGCCGATGTCATGCCGCTGGCCAATCTCGAGTATCTCTTTGACATGATGACACCCCAACACAACGTGTCACTACAGCCATTACTAAAGGAAAATCTGATTGTAGCGGGGACCCAAGAACCCGGTTCAGGAGGATTCTTTGTCCTTTCACCGGGACCTCACAAGTGGCAGCAACTCCAAGATGTGATTTCCCAACGGGAACGGGACGCTCAACACGCCACGACGCCCA